CACAACTTAGGCTTCGACCTCCGCCTCGGATTGGTCGTCCTCCAGTTTGTCCTTTATGTTAGCTCCCGTAGTGTCCGGCATGCAGCACAGTAAAAGCACCACAGTAAGTGTAACCGTGGCGTAGATGACGACCGGAAGACCATGCCTAAATTTCTTATCCAATTCATTAATGAAGCTGCTTATGATACTGCCCACTCGACCCAGTCCAGAGGCGTTACCCAGCGTCTCAGTCCGCATGGTTGCGGGAAAAAGTTCCGGTATGTAGATAAAAATCATATTGAACGTGGCACCTAGCACTGCAAGTGCCAGATTACAACAGACAATGAGCGCCATCTCTGATGAGGGTTGCAGAATGACCGTATAGAGACCGCCAATGAGTAGTATGATACCTGCCACTGAGTAGAGGACCAGCAGCGGCCTACGGCGGCTACGAACACAACTGTAGATTATCGAAGAGAGGAATGTAGCCGGCAGTGATGACAAGGCGTTTATAAACGATATTAAATAAATGGAATCACGAATAATTCGGGTGTAGAAGAGAAGGCCGAAGAAGCAACACAACTGTCCAGCAAATATGCAGGTAGATATGATGCTGCGCTTGGCCAGTTCGCCCGTCTGATAGGGTCCTTTGATAACCTTAAAAACTTTAGAACATATTCTCTTATCGCAAGTTTGAATACACAGCCTGCAGCGTTCACTGATGGCTTGAAGCGTGGATTTACTCTGCATCGGTTTTGGTTCGTAATTTAGTTCCTTATTGAACTCATTTCTGGTCATGATTGGTCGTCCTTTATTGCATACTAAATGGTTGATTCTGTAGGCCTTGTAGAGTGTGGAAACAGCTTCATCTAACCGATCTTTTGAAACAAGCCATCGGGGTGATTCGGGCAGAAAGTAAAGGGCAAAGACTCCGAAACACGGCGGTGCGACTACAAGCAAATGCAGGTATCGCCAGTTATGTATGTACATGGCCGCCAAAGCATGGACCGACCGGCATAAAAAGTTAAAATATATAGACCAAGGAGCGCCAAAAATGGACCTGTATCGGGCGTTCGTCATCTCGACTAGAAATACGCTAATTGAGGTCACTTTTATTGTACAGCTCATTGCTAGAAGTGTTCGCAAGACAACATAGGCGACGTAGTTGGGTGAAAAGGAAACCGCTAGACCGAATCCACATTCTAAAAAGGTGGCCATATAGATGGTCTTCCTCCGTCCCAGACGATCTCCACATACACCGCCCAGCACGAAACCTATCATCATCCCGACCATGTACATTGACGAAGTAAAGGGTACTTTCCAAGCTTCCTCGCAGACGAGGTCCCAATCTGCCACAATGCCACCTGGATACTGGTGCTCCCATGGATCAAACACATGTCCATGTGGACAGACCTCTGTGCTGCTATTCTCTGAGAGTAGCACAGTCCTTTTCTCGAGAATTTTCTTCAAATAAATGGTTCGGTTGTTCACTTGGTAACGGCGACATCCGTACTGACCCTGATGTAGACCTTCGTCATTAGGATCCTTGGGCCAGGGTCCTATTAGTGCTGCAGCTTCGTGAAAGCTCTCAGTACACTTAGCGAGGATTTCCTCCACCTCTGTCTCCATTTTGCACCGAAAGCGAGGTACGGCGTTTGCGTACACGGCAAATGTGATAGCAGAAGACATTGAGAAGCAGACGAGAGTGACAATCATAACTTGCCAGAGTCCGTGTGCCCCTACGAGTCTGTCGTAAACGTCATCGAGTTGCAGTAGACTGAGGGG